CTAGCTCGCTCAGCTCCTGGACACTCCTTTTGAGAACACCTCGACCTCACCTCGAACAGCTCGTGTTGCAAACGTTGACACTCTACATGCTCCCCCTCTAAGTCCAACTTGAGCTTCAGCACCTTAGCATTGAGCAAACTGACGTTGACCTGGAGGCCAACCTGCTCCTTCTGACAGGAATAGGCACGATCCAACGGGGCCTAGCCATAAGAGTTCGCCTACAGGAGAAAAAGAACCAGGGTAAAGAGAGAGAGAGAGAGAGAGAGAGAGGGGGGGGGGGAGAGTGCACCTGCATAATACATTGGGTCATCCGGCCTTCGGCCTCCGCAAGGTCCATCTCGGCAATCCGCTGCATGTCCACCGGAAGGAGTATCCCCCTACCAATCTAGAGCGCCACCCAAGCATCACTCAGTTGATCAATCACCTTGACATCCGGAACGCAAGGAGTAAATGGAGGAATGTCAGAAAGAGATGGGCCCCCCTCCCACGCAGGTTCAGGGACAGTAGAATCCGACTCAGCAAGCATTGGGTCCCCCTCACCTTCCAAGTCAACAATGGGGGGTCTCGGAAGAGGAAGCACCCCGCGATAGCCTGCGCTCAGCTCAGCGCTTCTTGTAGGCAGATCTCCGCTCAGCAGACATCATGGAGGCCAAGCTTGCCATACCTGGAAAAATGAAAAAACACCAGTTATCAAAACAAGGGGAAAGTCTAAACAGACAAGCAACCTGAACTGAATGTGCAATAAGTGGCCAGGCATCCAACCCACCTACCTGGCTTAGGCTCACTTGCACAAGCATCAGCTCGGCCAGAAAATCCTCAATTTTAACACATTCTCAGATGAGCCACTGAACAGCCGCCCACAGCTTGTCATCCTTGCACTCAGGAACATTTTGGGGACAGTTGTACCAAGTGGTACTACAGCCCCAACCACCTGCCTTCTCAAGGAAAAAGAAACGATTCCTCCAATTCCTAACCTTATTTGGGAAGTTAAACATTTTCTTCCCACTACGAAATGGGAGATAAAAACAGAAGGGACCCGAAACTCGCTTCATATGCACTAAAGCCGAGAAGGCCTCAATGCTTAGGGGGAAACCACGATGATGGAACAAACTGATTATAACCTAACCAGCGTCCTAACCCCGTTGGGGGCGAGCTGGCCCCGGGACACCCAATAGAACATCAAGACAGCAATGATGAAGGGATGAAGGGGGAAACAAAAGCCAGCCGCCAAAGACTCTTCATAGACACATAAACCCTCCGGACCATGCTCCCAAGGATAACGACCAGGACCAAGCATAATCCATTGGTACTCATCTGGGATCTCGTATTTATGACACAGCTCTACCACCTCATCCCCTGAAAACTCAATTCCTCCAAAGGAAGCTGTCGCAGCCTCGACCTCCTCCCGCCTACCCACCATTGCCCCATCATAGAAAACCTTAAAGGAATTTTCATCGGAGGAGCTAGACTCCTCCCCTGACCCGCTATAGTGAACCCTATCCTCTGCAGAACTATGTGACATGTTGGAAGCAAAATACTCACTGGAGGAGATGCTGAAAAGGACTTGGAAACAACCGCCGTCGGACCAACAGAAGGAAAACACAGCTCGCCCATGAGAAATAGAGTTCACCTTAGCAAAAAGCTCCAAACCCTTACCTCACTCGGAAAAGTCCAAAGACAAAGTGGAGACCTCGAGGGCCCCCCTTATTTAAAAGCTCACCTAGAAGAATTAACTACCCAGATTCAAAAGAGACAGGAGCACGTTTCCCACATTTTAGTGGCGCCTACGACTGACAGGCTACTAACAACTGACACACACGCTAAATCCCACGGTGCCAAGCGCAAAATTTGAAAAAGGCACACATTTTTGCGCCAATTGCGGAAATTGAAGGAGGCGCACACTGTTCAAAATTCAAAAGCCTACCAAAGTGAGATTCACTATAAGCACCAAATCAAATAAGGCTAAATCGGACCGGTCGAACCTGTAGACAGAAAAGAGGTAAACCCAAACCACCCAAAAAAAAAAACAAACCCCTACTCTCTTTGTCTGCTAAATAGCGAACTCAAGAGTGGGGGACTATTGTTGATGGGCATTTTGGTCAACCCACTTGATGATGGACACATGGACGCTATCAATGACACCGCATCCCACTCAACAAGACAGTTGGTTGGCTCGACATACAGTAGTCAATATCAGGTACAAAGCCAAGCTAGAGCGAGCTCAGCCCACAACGTCCAACGCAACAGAACAACTCGCTGGAGTAACACGTGGCAATCAACATCAGATACGCGGCCGAGTTAGGGCTAGCTCGACCCTCCATCAGCCACCAGCTTGCCTGAAACAGCCCCGCAAACAATGCATGTGCAAGCGCTATAACCGCAACACAGAAAAACGGTGCACCGAGTTAACCGCCCCCAGACCAGTAGGCAGCCTGTAACCACCGCATGGATCTAGCAAATAACTGACCAATACACCCCAAGATTTAGGAAACAACACCGTATAAGGCTCAGAGATATTACTAGACAACATATGAACCTCGAGTAGATATAAAAAGACCTCATGGCCACTCCAAAAGGTATGCGCACATAAACTCTCACTCTCTCATATTCTCTCACGCAACGGATCATTCACTAACTTAAGCATTAGAGTTTCCCCCTGGGTAAAAATATAACCGGGCACTCTAACTTCTCTTCCTTTTCAGCTCTCAGCTCGGACCCCCACCTCGGCATCATAGCTCATCAGATAAGAGGGAGTGAATAGATTATGTGCTTCATCTATTGGTAGGACCATTTTTTGCCTCATCAGCTCTGATGGGTATCTCTAGTTCCAAATATGAAATATCGTTGCATCTATTGAGGGCATGCATACTCTTCATTCTAGTAATCTTCGATAAGCTAGATTTTGTTTTAAAAATTTAAAGAATAATGATCTTTTTCATCAGTTGCGTTTTATTTTGAAAATTTAAGGAATAACGGAGGACAAATTCAACATTTTAGTTTTTTCCATTAGTGCTTAACGGTGATGTAAATTGAGGGCACTTTAAGACAATATGTAGACAGTAAGGGTAAAGTTAATCAATTAGCTAAACCATAAGGATAATTTAAGAAATTTGCCCTTGATTTAATTATTACTTTTATGATACCAGTTGATTGGTTACGAGTAGAAGTGTAAAACGGGTTGTTTCGGCCCACGGGCTGTGCCTCCCTCCCTTGGGATATTTTGGGGGTCGAACCACCATGGCCCGAACCCGCACGGGCCCGTGCCGGGCCAGGTTGGTCTGTGGGCCAAGCCAGGCCATGGACCAAGCCAAAGGTATTTATTTAAAAAAATTGAGAAAAAAAACTTAAAATTTTGATTTTATATGAATTTTGATGTATACAATTGCTTATATATACAATAATTAAATAAAGTAATATAATAAAATTGAAAACAATTGTTTATTTTATTAATATATTATATGCTATATATTATATAATTATAATGTATATAATATATATAAATATATATATAATATATAAATTTATATATGGGCTATGCGACGAGTGACATGACATGACAATGCAGGTTGTGCTAGTCCAACCCATCCACCTGAATCCCAAGCCCGACATGACTCATACAATCGTGTTGTATTGTAGCACAACCCGTGAGCCATCAAACCGAGCCAACTCAAAATCATGCCAGGCCACAGGTGACACGGCCGATTTACACCTCTAGTTACAAATTTTCTAGTATCATGCCTTTCGAGTCCAACCCATGAATAAAAGGGAATCAAAGGAGTCCTACCATTAGGGGTGTACACGAGTCAGGTTGGGTCTGTTTATTGGGGTTTTCCCAACCAACCCGACCTGGTCGGGTTACCTGAGGTGGAAACCGAAACCGATCCACTGATAAGCCAAACCGACCAGGTCGGATTGAGTAGAGTTGGGTCAATTTGGGTCAATTTCGGTTTTGCTCCTGTACAAAAGGACACCTAATTGAATTCTAATTGTAATTGCCTAATGGGTTGCCTATTTGGTGTAAAAGATTATAGAAAGTTAGAAACTAGGATAGATTGCCTATTCTAATTGTAATTGCCTAATGGGCCTTCTAGTTCTAGTAGAAGACTAGTTATACTTAAGTAGGAAACTATTCAAACTAGAAACTACCGAACTAGTAGAAGACTAGTTCGATTCGGGTCGGGTTGGTTTCGGTTTTCACACAAGAAAACCAAAACCAACCCGATATATCGGTTTATATATTTTTCCAACCCGAAATCGATCGGTACTGATGAAAACCCAACCGACTCAGATTGGGTCAGTCCGAGTTGGTCGGTTTGGTCGGGTTGGGCATTCTTATGAACAGCCCTACCTACCATGAATTTTCTCAAGGGTGAACTGTTGAAACCTCCCTAAAGTTTCTAGTTGTTGCTAAAACCTCCCCTGAAGCTTGGAAATTGCCATTACCTCATCTGAACTTTCAAATAGTTGCAATTAGACCCCCTTGATGGAATACTCTAAAAATCAGGCATAAAATGTCCAAAACACCCATACAGTTGATTTTGACCAAAATGTTTATTTCCAAGTTTTTCCATATGAAATGCCAGCCCAAACCCTTCCAATATTTTTTTTCTGAATTTGATTTATTTTTCGAATTTTCCCTAGATATCAATCATTCAAAGGTAAAATTACAACTTTAAATCCTCTTTTTCCTTTTGTTGTTTATAAAGTTTTTATTGTTTTTTTGTAAAAAAACAGTCTCAATAATAATTGCATGAGCATTTTGGACATTTTTGTGCCTCTTATAAGAGGATTCTAACAGAAGGGGTATACTTGCCACTGTGTCAGAAACTTCAGGGGAGGTAAGTGCAATTACCAAACTTTATGGGAGATTTCAGCAACGGTCAGAAACTGCAGGGGAGGTTTCAGTCAAATGCACAAGAGATTTTGATTGGTTAAGTGTATTACGTATAATATCTTTTTTGTGCCATAGACACTGCTCAAAGGGTAAATGCTAACAAGCAGAACAGAATAAAGACAAATCCCATCAGCAGATCATCATGGAAGTACGAAACATATCCCAAAAAACTGTGCAATCTCTTTCTAAGAAGCAATTAAATAGGCTTACAACCACATGTTCCATGACCATCAAGTTGAGTTGCGACATCATGGAAAACACTAGCCTGTTCAGTCAAGTTTTACTATGCTCAACTACAGGGAGAATTTGGATCACATCTTATTGTAGTTCTAGTGTCTTGACCGACATGTATCCCTACCACCAAAATCCAGTTCAGAACATCACACGGCCTGAAAGAGCAGTCAAAAGAGTTTAACTTAGATGAAGCAATAGTATATTCGAGGAAGAAAGAAATGGTAAGCTCAATTAACACAACTTTAGCCATTCCTACATTAAAAAATACATTAATTTGCGATTTCTAGCCATAAACAGTGAAAATAATCCTTACATTAATGTGCTAAATTAATTTCACCATGTCAAGCAAACAATTCACTACTTTTTGATACCAACAAAATTAATGGAGATCCTTTTTGATGGAGGAATTGCAGAATACATATGGCATAACAGTAGAGATAATGAATCACATTCTTACTAGAAAGCTAATCATGAACCAGGTTTTGCCATATCCATATCTAGAAGGGGCCTTGACTCTAAATATGAGCTATGCATGAAACTGCAAGCAGGAATTCATACCGTCTCTAACAGATATAGTTAAGCTTGTACCATATATGGTCTTCGATTTAGCCATGGTAGCTCAGCCTATTAATGGAACAGATCAAGTCCATCCCTACCTTCTGTATCAACTCAGATTTCTCATCCTAACTAGGCTAAGTTCAATTGTTTCCTTCAAAACAAACACTTTACTCCTTGAAATTGAATTTTCTTTTTCTTCTTTCAATAACAGAAGATTAAAAAACAGAAAAGCTCTAAACGGTAGAAGTAAAAGGTAATACATTTTTTACTTGCAAGATCTGCTACATCATTTTTTACTTCTTTTGTTTCTTTGTTTCTTTCTTTTTAAGATACTTAAAAGGTAATACATTATATGGCAACAAAGAAGGTTGTACAAGAAATGCAGAATGACTGGACAAGCAACAATTCCCTTACGGAAAAATAGTCAGGTAAAGAATTGTCACTGGAGAAAAATAAAATAAAATAAAAACTCAACCCCCAATTTGGCTAACCCATCTATCATTCAATTTAATGCATTGGGGGATGTGTATCAGAACTAAGACACCGATTGTTGTTTCTCTTATTTTATTCAAGAAATGAACCAATCTCCAAGGTACACTTCCCATGCTGATGCTCCATATCTGATTGCATTTGTTGAGCTAACGTCAAAACTTAGGTAGATAAACTGCAGTTGCTTACCTGTATGGATCCCATTGAGGAGGTTTCTCACCACTGCTTTTGTAACATCCGCATTGCTAACCTCCCTACACCCAAACAATGCTTCTTGAAAGCAATACCAATTCCTGCTAGCCCAGGTGATGCAGATACAGAAGCAGGGAAAGAATCCATAGAAATTTAAAACAGATTTCTAATTCCTTTACCAATTTCAAAAATTTAGGTGATAGGATGTTATTATTTTCAAGTTTTTGTAATTCAATTTCTAACTGTATTATCTCAAGAATAGGGTTCTAAGTTTTCCAAATATTTACTGTTATTTCAAAACTGCTATTTATGCTAACTTTGTTCTTACTATTTATAGTAATTCTCATAATTACTATTTATAGTAAAGTCATGAATTACTAGTTTTAGTGGGATTAAGAAAATATTAGGGTAAATTGTTGAAACCTCCCCTGAAGTTTGGTATGCAATTAGCTCCCCTAAACTTTTTGACACAGTTGCAAGTAGACCCCTCTGTTAGAATCCTCTAACAAGAGGCATGAAAATGTCCAAAATACCCATGCAGTTTTTTTTTTGAAAAAGATAAGGTAACAATTTTATTAGAAGAAAGAGAGGGGGGAGTATACAAGTAGTATACGAAAAGCAAAAAAAAACAAAACAAAACACATACACATCCAGCCTAGACCCCCCCCCCCCCTAAGCAAGGCTGGGGGCACAAAAGACCAACACAACCACAAACCCAGCCAAACACATCCAGTTTAATGAATTCTGGTTGTTATGAGGAACTTTTCCCTTTTTTTCCTCTCTCTTACCTCTTAAAGTGATCTATCTCTTGGCCATTCACCCCAACCCCAACAACAAGTTCTTTTTCTTTCTAATCTTTTATTCATTCTTTGAACTAGAAAGGACACAGTTAGAAATGAAGTTATATGAAGGAACCGAGGAGTAGCTCCAATAGGTGATAAAATGAGAGGATGTAGGTTTGATCACATGCATAGAAGACCATCTAGAGCAACTATTAGAAAAAAGTCATCAGCTTCAAATTGAAGGGGCTATAAGAATTACGGGCAGACTGAAAAGGACTTGGGTGGAAGTAATTAGAAACAGTTTAAGAACCCATAATTTAATGATAGATATGGCATTTAACAGGCAACCCCCATATAGTTGGGACAAGGCTTGATGACGAGGATGATTTTTTGCTCATTCTTTGGCGGACAGCAAGCTGTTTGATTGTTTTTCCATCCTTATTCTTCGTTCTTAATCACCCCACAAATCCCACTACCAGATCCAAAATTTGTAGGGCCCCCACCTGTAATCCTACATCACCAGGATTCTAAACTGAACAACCACCAAACTGATGCCTAGTAAGTCCTTGAATAGAAGTGAGAAATGTAGCTGTAGAGACGAAATCATAAGGGGATGCTTGTAAGATTTATGGGAGGTTCCTACCCAAGATGCAAATGAGATTTATTTGAACTCTTCTTTTAGCTGGAGCCCATGACAAAGTAGGCCAAGGACCTTTTCCTTCAAAGCATCAAATGATTTCATCAAAATTCCTCCTATTTCTTTCTTCCTAGACTGCCAAAACCTTTACAGGCACAATGATCTTCCAATCGTCCCCTCTACTACCAGAATGTCCTCTCCATTGGACTACCATGTCTTTGAGATCTCCACAGGGCACACGTTGCAGTGTAAAAAGTCCCAGGAAGAAGTGTCATAGCTTTCTAGTCACCTAACAGTGTAGGTGTAGGTGTAGGATGAGGTTGGTAAGAAATTTCCTTTTAGATTCTCCTACCATGTTCTTTGCTTCTTTATGCAGTCTGCCATTTCAAGCCACATATCATTAATCATTCCAATATAAACTCCATTTTCATTCTACTATCAACCTGTCTCTAAGGCCAAGTTTGGGAGTGCTTAAAAAACAAGTGCTTATTCTAGCAAGGACTTATAAGCGTTTGCTGAAAAAAGCACTTATTTTAAACAGGGATAGTATAGGTATTTTTAAAATGATGTGGCAGGCCAAGATAGGTCAGAAAGGACATAAGCACTTAAAAATAAGCTCAAAATTTGGGCTTCTCAAATAAGTGTTTATTCTGAGAATAAGCACTTATTTCGGGCTTATTTCACAAATGCAAATAAGTGCTTATTGGTGTGGTTCTGGCCCAAAATAAGTGCTTATTTGAATAAGCACTTTTTTAAGCACTCCCAAACTTGGCCTAAATTGAGCTAGTTTTCTCCTTCTAGGTTTTCCTGTATAATTCAGACACTTATTTTCTTTTCTCAACCAGGTGTGGGATCACATGTCGATGGATTTCATAACAGGCTTGCCGAAGTCCATGGGGAAAACTGTATTTCTGGTGGTGGTAGACCAGCTTAGAAAATATGCCCACTTCATGGGCCTAGCTAACCCTTACATAGCTGCCCAAGTGGCTCAAACGGATATCCAGAATGTGCCAAACTTCACAGCACACCAGTTTCTATTGTGAGTGCCATTCCACAAAGTACCATGAACAGATTTTGAGAAGAATCTTTTAGGGTTCAAGGGGTGAATGTGTGCCATTCCACAAAGTACCATCCACAGTCAGATGGTCAAAGCAAGGTTGTTAACTGATGCCTAGAGACCTATCTCTGGTGTTATGTGAGTTAGAAGCCAACCCGGTGAATGAAATGGTTAGCTTGGGCTGAAATACAACACATCATACCATGCTGCATCAGGAACTACACCTTTCAAGGTCCTTTATGGTCGTGACACTCCATTTTACCCTATGAGAAGGAGTCTACCTCTGTAACAGAAGTAAAAACCCAGCTTTCAGCTCGAGATGACATCCTCAAGGCCCTAAAACTACACCTACAGAAGGCTTAGCAGCAGAGGAAACTAAGTTATGATAAGCATCAAAGAGAAAACTTATCAGGTCAGGGGCATGGTATATCTGAAGTTACAATCTTACCAGAAGACTTCTATTGCTAAATGGATGTGGCAGAAACCATCTCCCAGGTATTTTGGCCCCTTCTGGGTAATAGACCGGGCCGCTTCCATTGCCTACAAGCTGCACTTGCCCCCATCTTCAAAGCTTCATCTCGTGTTTCTTGTCTCCCTTTTGAAGCCTGGGATAGCACAGTAACAAGTCTAGTTTTGCCCCCATTCAATGCAGATGGAGAGGTGGAGATTAAACCACACCAGGTCCAGATCACAGACTTCAGGTAGGTTAAGATGGACCACAAAGTTGTAAAGCAAGACATGGTCCAGTAAAGTGGTCTTCCAACCGAGGATGCCACAAGGTAAGACGACACTAAATTGCAGCAATGGTACTCCCACTTGAACCTTGAGGATAAGGTCCATCTCCAGGGGGAGTAACTGATAGAATCCAGTCCAGCCCACGGCCTCAGGATCATAAGGTTCAGGTCCTGGGAGACCAACAGCAGCCCAAGGAGCAACGACTCAGGTTCAGCCCATGAAGCCTACCATTTGGCTTGTCTACGTCAGAAAACCACATGAAGGGCATTAGAGTGGAGTGAGGTGCCATGTCCATGAGATTGTAATAAGGCCAATACTATACAAGGCCTGGGGAGTTGGTTGTGCTCAGACATGTATATTCCCCCTTTTCCATTTTCTTTTTTCTCCCTTGTTCAGGAGGCAGAGCTCCCTCAAAGAAGCCCATCGTTTCTGAGCTGAAAGCTTACCAGTCCTCAGACATTTTCATCAAGTATTAGTATCGCTAAAAGATAGAAAAAGTGCAAAGAACCAACGTCTAGGGCTGCAATGCTGGTGCATGTAAAACAATCTCACAAAGATGGAGTTCATTGAATTTATCAAAAAAAAAAGGATGGAGTTCAATGAACATAACTTGGGAACTGATATATCAGAACAGTTCAGAAAGTCTTTTGGAATTCCATCTACTTCCAAATAAATGACTAAACAAGTCCCAACCTAAATTCCAGCTACATAAAACATAACTTGGGAACTGATATTTTAGAATATCTCAGAAATTCTTCTGGAAATCCATCTACTTCCTAATTGTAGGAAACTCTACGCTAAGGTTTATTCTATCAATTGTTGATATTATAGGAACAGGGCTTAGGAGCACTCTGAAGTCTGAACAGAATTAACTCAATGACACTGTAGATTTTTAGTGAATAACAAAAATTGCCCATAATGGGTGCGATATAGTAATGTCAATGATTAGGTATCACTTAATATTTCTCTTTTCATGAAGCAATTGCCTCAAATAGGGTGCATATCAAGCAAAAAATGGGAAATTGTAACCAATTCAAGTGGGCCAAATGGATGCAATTCTTTAAGCTTCAGTGTCACAACAAAGAATCTGGTCTCAGAAGAATTTTCACTACAAGGTACAACTATTAATTGACAACAGTAAAGAACTTAAATGATGCACCAGTTATATGTGCCTGCAAATATGCTGACTTGCCTATCAATTAAAGCAACAAACCTCACTCAATATACCAGTTATTCAACAAGCAACATAAAACCAATATGAAATAAGTTCTCTAAAGGCTAACCTTAAAAAATATCTCAAATGGTTTACTGTGAAGAATCATTTGCAGGAGGCGGAAGATGATTCACAACCAAAGGAGCGCGTAGAGCCCTGTGGGTTGCATCCTTTTGCTTCCGAGCCTTGTACATCTCTTCTGTTTCAATCACGACCAATCTCTTTACCTATCAATTAGAAACAAAAACAAGGGGAACCCTCATCATAAACCAAAACCCAATTGATTAAATCAAGAGACAAATCTGAAAACATAGAATTTGCTTAGAACCTGTTGGAGCATTCCCCTAACAGTAGGTGTGTTCCAGCGCATGACAGTTCGGTTGCACTTGCGGAGGCGCAGGGCCTCCAAGGTGCGTCTGTGAAGCCTCCTAGTGCCTGGAATACCTCTAACCAGGGTTATATAGAGGTGAGGACTCCATGCAATTGGAACACAGGCTTTGAAAGCCTTGAAAGCATTCATCTCTTCCCTCCTTTTCTCACTCTACCACCAGCTTAATAATATAAAGTGATGGCCCTACGAGAGTTTGCTTACTTGCAGAGCTGACTGTAAAGATACAGATAGGGGTGTCAATTGACCAGGTTGTTGTCCAATCCAACCCAAATTTAATGGACAGAGGGTTGACTTCAATTCATTTTAATACAAATGAACCAGATTGAACCCCATCCAATCCAAATTGATTGAAATAACATAAATCACATAAAAAATGTAAAAAAAATGCAAACATAAAAAATTATAAGAAAAAACATTAGAAATTTCAGGAAAAAATAAATGGCACCATCAACAATATGGATATATTTTAAGTTCTTATAACACCTAACAGTGAAATTGAATTTTCAATGATGTAATAAGAGATGTATTCCAAGTTCTTATAGCACCTAATAGTGAAGTTGGATTTTCAATATATATTGTTCTTGTACATGTTTTCTTTGAAAACAAATTTAACAATAAGATCATTTTCATTCATTATCTCCTATTTGCATCATTATACCTGTTCATGGGCCAGGCCAAGCCAGACTTGGGCGGGCTATGAGTTTATATCAACAGAACACATTCAGGCCCAAGCCCGAGCCTGAAGCCTGGCCAGGAAATTGAGAAAATAGGTTAATTTCCTTTATTTAACAACAAAACTGATTTATTTATATTAAATGACTTCAAAACTAAAAAATACTAAAAGATCTCACTACAACTTGAGAAAAAAAAAAAGATGAACAAACAAAAAATATATTATTTTATTAAATAATATATAGTTTTTGTTATATAAAATATTTTCAGGTTGGGCTTGGGCTGGGATTTCTTGAGAAAGCCCAAGCCGATCCTGAAAAAGAAAGCCGGTCCTGGTGTTTTGGGCCCAATCCCGAGCCCGTGGGCCTAAATTCCTATCCACCGTTGGGCTACCTGGCCCATGAACAGGTCTATTCATCAGCAGTTAGCTTTCTTCTCACTATAATACATTCCAGTTTCATTCCATGAGCATTCATCTGTGCAGCAATAATGTCAATCTGATCCTCTTTTGTTCCTTCACAGGGCTCTTTAATACGGTACTGGGCATTCATCAAAAGGCAAAGATATTTCTTTCCTTTGCTTGTTGGTTCAAACTTCTATATCAACAATTCAGCATATCCATTCATTATAGCATTTTTTAAACAGATAGCATCCTAGGTATTAAGCTACAGGGAACAAGCCAAACAGATCAGAACAAAATTCACTAAACCTATCTTGCAGGCAGAGTCTCTGGTAATACCCGAGCACGGGCAAAGTTCCTGCATATTTTTGTTCCTGAGGAAATTCCTGTTTTGGTACAGGAACTCTGTTTCTTATTCCTGGAATAATTGACTTGTTTGGCAAATTGTTCCAAGGAACATATTTCTATTTGACAGAAATATAAATGATGTTTGGATAGCCCTGTTAATTCTTCAGATCAATACACATACAATAGATTGTTACAAGTTCTCAAACCTAAAGTTAACAAAAAAAGACCACACACCCTGTAAGCCTTTGCATTTTTAAAACCATTATCAGATAATTGTTGAATAAAAACAAGAAGACAATGTATCTGAAATAAAATATAAAGCATAGCTTTCTCATCAAGAATATAAATGCTTTAAAATAGGAAAGAATGGGCATCCAACAGCTATCTGGTTTTCATGGTTCATACTTCTTCCACTTCGAAGCAACCACACTTAACAACTTGGATTAAAAGCCCTTTGATTAAACCTCCCACTAGAAACAAGATAGTTCTCTAATGCTAAATGCCATGAACTGCCTAAGAAAAAAAAATACTTGCTTTCAGAGCATCTCCGTATTATGAATTTTCCCGAATTCAATTCTATAATTTACCCAGACACAGGGTTTATTGCAGAGATAAGCCCATTAATATTATGAATGATTTCATTTTAAAATCTGGAACGCCCAATCTGAAATGAACACATAAACCCATTAATTCAAAATCTGGAAGCAAGAAATATGGAAGAACAATGCAAGCCATTACCCAGATTCAGAACAAGCTCGAGAAGACAAAAAACAGAGTTCGTTTTCTCATTTCTATTATAAACACATCAATAGAAGAAAACAGATTTCGTTTTCCATACGTATTATAAACACAGCAATAGAAGAAAAAAAAAATCAATGTAACTGTTACCTGAGGGGTACTTGCTGCCGAAGAAAGAAAAAAAATCGGGCTATTGATTTGTGATGCCTTCTATATGCGTCGGTAGAAGAAAACCAGTGAAACAAAAAAAAATTGAAATTATAAGGTGGACAAAAGAGAAAGCACAACACAGAAAAGCGGTAAAAAAACTAACATTTTAGAGAGATGAACGACGATGATACCTGGGGATCTCGTCGCCGGAGAAGAAAGCAGTTCCCTTGGTCAGTGTCTTGCGGCGAGAGGGGGTTGTCGATGGAGAGACTGTTGCGAGGAACTTAGGGCTTTAGAAAGGGTCATTACTTACACACCCCTTATAGTTTTACGTATTTATTAAAACCTACCCTCTAGTTTCCATTTCACTAAAACACTCCCTACAGTTTGTAATTACTTTTTTTTTTATAATTAAATAAACTATATTGGTTAGGGGGTGAGCAAAAAATCGAACCAATCGAAACTGAACCGATCAGTTTGGTGTTTTTACAAAAACCAAAGGTATCGATTCGGTTTCGATTAACCAATATAGAAAA